AGGCCACCGCTGGCTCCTGGCTGCCTTTCACACTCTTCTTCCCTTTCCCCTCGCCTGGAACACCTTCCCCTTCTTCCTTGGCGCCTTCTGAACTGCCTTAAGAGCCACAGGCTGTGGCCACCGCGCTCTCAAGGTGAGGCCCTCCAAGTGGGGCCAAGGTGGCCCCTCAACTGGGAGCCTGCACGACCTGTGTATGGACTGCTGTCTGCTTCACTGCCCCTTCTCCCAACTTGCTAGGTGACCCTGGGCCCCTTTGTGCCCTTTCTGGGCCTTTGGAGGATTGTCTGGGGAGACAGTTTGCTCTGACATGCCCTGCCCTTCAGCAGCCTGGCGGGGAGGTGAGGATAAGTGGAAGCAAGTTTGTTCAAGGGGCTAAGCCCATGGAAGGGAAGGTGCCACAGAGATACATGTGGTCTTGTGATTCTTGTTTGATGCCTTTTCCCCTTTTTTGAAGACTCAGGTGACTAGGTGACTTGAGCTTTTAATTTGTTGACAATGTGGGCATTGGCTAAGTCCATAAGAGTACATTGTTGTGAATGCCGGTGACAACTCACTGGGGCATGGGATCCAGAGTGAAGCCCTCCAGGTCACAGCCAGGTTGTATCTCCAAAATGAATGGGGAGGTGGGCCATGCTTGCTCACACTAATGAAGGTAGCTCAAACACCCCTAGGCCAGGTTGCAATCCCAGCCTTATATAAAAGGAATTCTGTGCCCTCACCCCGCTGGATCCCTGGGCAAAGCCCACAGAGGGAAACACAAACAGGTGTTGCAACACAGCTTGCTGGTACCACCATGGAGGACAGCAGGCTTGTAGGGATGGGGCACCTGGGGCCATGGAGTCACAGGTGATGGCATCCCTCCTTGGAACCCCTCCAGCCTCCTCTTGACTCTGAAGTTAAGATTTGTTTGTTTGTTTTTCACTAAGACCTGCTCTTTCGAGCCATTGCCTATCTAGGGGCTGAAGAAGGTCGAGTTGAGAAGGGATGCAAGGGAGGGGGCCAGAATGAGCCCTTAAGGCTCAGAGCCTCCATCCTGCCCCAAGGTAGGGATGAGGGAGGGGTCCCTGCCAAGGTGCCTACAGCTTGTGGTCTTGGGGTGTTAGAGGCACACAGGAGGAAAGTTAGTGTCTTCCCTTCCATATCCCAGCCTAGAGTATGGATCCCAGGTGAGGAGGCCTGCCTGGGAGGGGGCCCTGAGCCAGGAAATAAACATTTACTAACTGTAAAAAGACCTTGTCCCTGCTGCTGGGGAGCCTGCCAAGTGGTGGAGACAGGACTAGTGCATCAAGTATGGGAAGGGAGAGATGCGGTGGGTGGGAGCCAGCTCCTCTCCCCATAGAGGCCTTAGGACATCACAGGGGTGGAATTGGGGTACTGTGGAGGTAACCTAGCATCTCCACCAAACCATAGCACCATATGTTGAGGACAGGGCTGGCTGCATAAGCTCCTTACAGCGTTTTGGTCAAACTGAGGGAAACTGCTGCCTTCTCATTCTCAGTCCATGCCTCCACAGAGGCTATGCCAGCTGCAGGGCAGACCCTGGCCAGATCCGGGTGGATATTCAGAGTGACTGGTCCCACTCTTCCCACAGGCATTAGAGCCCTAACTTTGTTCGCTGGGGCAGCCTGGAAATAGCTGGGTCAGAACCCAGCCAGGAATTTTTCCAAGCTGGTTCCTATATGCAAGAATGGGATGGGGGCCTTGGGGAGCACTTCGGGAAGATGTGGAGAGTTCGAGAAAAAGGGGCTTGGAGGCAAGGGAGAGGAGTGGGGGAAGGAGAGGGGAGAAGCTATGAGCCTGGAGAAGTAGCCAAGGGATCCGGAGGGAATGGGGGGCTGAGAAGAAACCCCCAATTCTGTTCAGAAGATGAGCCATGAGTCTGGGCTTGGGCTGATAAAAGCCCTGGCCCCTGGCCTGGTGGGAGCTCTGGGCAGCTGGCCTGCAGACGTTCCTCAGTGTTGGCTGGTAGGTTTGAATCATCACACAGGCGCTGGCCTCCATCCGCCCCCACCAGCCCCCTGGCCTCAGTTCCCTGGCAACATCTGGGGTTGGGGGGGCAGCAGGAACAAGGGCCTCTGTCTGCCCAGCTGCCTCCCCCTTTGGGTTTTGCCAGACTCCACAGTGCATACGTGGGCTCCAACAGGTCCTCTTCCCTCCCGGTCACTGACTAACCCCGGAACCACACTGCTTCCCGCTCTCAGTTCCACAAACTTGGTGCCAAATTCTTCTCCCCAGGGAGGCATCCCTGGACACTTCCCAAAGGACCCCAGTCACTTCAGCCTGTTGGCTGCTGCTCACTTTGATGTCTGCAGGCCAGATGAGGGCTCCAGATGGCACATTGTCCAGATAGACACACTGTGCCCCCTGTCCCAGCCCTGGGCTCTGTACATGAAGCAAGTCCAGTCCCAAACATGCAGCTGTTTGAGAGGTCACAAGTGGGGGGGGGCGGTCAGGAGGAAACTCCCCCCACTCCCTTTCCAAAGCCCATTCCCTCTTTAGCCAGAGCTGGGGTGTGCAGACGGCAGTCACTAGGGGGCGCTCGGCCACCACAGGGAAGCTGGGTGAATACCGGGAGCAGCGTCTTCGAGAGTGAGGACGTGTGTGTCAATGTGGGTGAGTGTGTGCGTGTAGGGGTTGAGGGCGTTGGAGCGGGTAGAAGCCCAGGGGTCACTCCAGGATTCCAATAGATCTGTGCTTCCCTCTCCGCACCCGTCCCTGTCCGGCTCTCCGCCTTCCCCTGCCCCCTCCAATATTCCTAGCAAAGAGGGAATAGCTCTCGGGCCCTGTCCGCACGTAACCTCACTTTCCTGCTCCCTCCTCGCCAATGCCCCGCAGGCGCGTGTCTCTGGACAGAGTTTCCGGGGGCGGATGGGTAATTTTCAGGCTGTGAACCTTGGTGGGGGTCGAGCTTTCCCTTCATTGCAGCGGGCTGGGGGCCAGGCTTCGTTGGGCGTCCGCAGCGCCCGGGTCTGTGCCGCGCGTGGAGGGGGCGAGGCTCGCCTGTCCCCGCCCCCGGGGCGGGTCCCGGAGGGGCGGAGCCAATTTTAGGTTTATAAAAGTCGGTTGATAGCGGAGGATCGCGGAGGCTTGGGGCAGCCGGGTAGCTTGGAGGTCGAGGCGCGGGGGGCTGGCACCGGTGCTCTGTAGGGAGCGCAGCGGCTAGGTGGACCGGTCATCAGATCACTGGCCAGGGCGCTCCGTGCTGGAATTTGATATTCGTTCATCCGGGGTTTATCCTCCTTCTTTTTTCTTAAACATTTTTTCAAAACTGTATTGTTTCCCGTTTTAATTTATTTTTGCTTGCCATTTCCCACTTGAATCCTGCCGACGGTGTGGGGAGATTGCTCTACTCCCTCAAATCACTGTGGATTTTGGAAACCAGCAGAGAGAGGAAAGAGAGGTAGCAAGAGCTCCAGAGAGAAGTCGAGGAAGAGAGAGACGGGGTCAGAGAGAGCGCGCGGGCGTGCGAGCAGCGAGAGGGACAGGGGCAAAGTGAGTGACCTGCTTTTGGGGGTGACCGCCGGAGCGCGGCGTGAGCCCTCCCCCTTGGGATCCCGCAGCGGACCAGTCGGGCTGACGGACAGACAGACAGACACCGCCCCCAGCCCCAGCGCCCACCTCCTCCCTGGCCGGCGGTAGACAGTGGACGCTGCGGCGAGCGGCGGGCAGGGGCCGGAGCCCGCGCCCGGAGGCGGGGTGGAGGGGCTCGGGGCTCGCGGCGTCGCACTGAAACTTTTCGTCCAACTTCTGGGGTGTTCTCGTTCCGGAGGAGCCGTGGTCCGCGCGGGGGAAGCCGACCCGAGCGGAGCAGCGAGAAGTGCTAGCTCCAGCCGGGAGGAGCCGCAGCCGGAGGAGGGGGAGGAGGAAGAAGAGAAGGAAGAGGAGAGGGGGCCGCGGTGGCGACTCGGTGCTCGGAAGCCGGGCTCATGGACGGGTGAGGCGGCGGTGTGCGCAGACAGTGCTCCAGCCGCGCGCGCGCCCCAGGCCCTGGCCCGGGCCTCGGCCCGGGGAGGAAGAGAAGCTCACCAAGGCGCCGAGGAGAGCGGGCAGCCCCATTGCCCGAGCCGGAGAGGGAGCGCGAGCCGCGCCGGCCCGGGTCGGGCCTCCGAAACCATGAACTTTCTGCTCTCTTGGGTGCATTGGAGCCTTGCCTTGCTGCTCTACCTCCACCATGCCAAGGTAAGCGGCCGTGCCCGCCTGGCGCCGCGGGCTGCTGCGAGCGCCTCTCCTGGCTGGGGACGTGCGTGCGAGCGCGCGCGTGGGGCCCCGGTGCCCCACGCGGGTCCATGGGCACCAGGCGCGCGGCGTCCCCCTCTGTCGTCGTAGGTGCAGGGGGAGGGGGCGCGCGCTAGGTGGGAGGGCACCCGGAGAGAGGCTCACCGCCCACGCGGGCCCTGCCCACCCACCGGAGTCACCGCACGTACGATCTGGGCCGACCAGCCGAGGGCGGGAGCCGGAGGAGGAGGCCGAGGGGGCTGGGCTTGCGTTGCTGCTGCCGGCTGAAGTTTGCTCCCGGCCGCTGGTCCCCGCCGATCTGGAAGTCCAGGCAGCCAGGGCGGGAGCCAGAGACCAGCGGGCAGGGGGGCGCTCGGACCTTGGACCGCGGGAGGGTAGAGAGCGTGGAGGGGGCAGGGCGCAGGAGGGAGAGGGGGCTTGCTGTCACTGCCACTCGGTCTCTTTGGCCCTTGCCGCGAGTTTGGGAAAAGTTTTGGGGTGGATTGCTGCGGGGACCCCCCCTCCCTGCTGGGCCACCTGCGCCGCGCCAACCCCGCCCGTCCCCGCTCGCGTCCCGCTCGGTGCCCGCCCTCCCCCGCCCGGCCGGGCGCGCGCGGCGCGGAGCCGATTACATCAGCCCGGGCCTGGCCGGCCGCGTGTTTCCCGAGCCTCGGCTGCCCGAATGGGGAGCCCGGAGTGGCGAGCGGCACCCCTCCCCCCGCCAGCCCTCCGTGGGAAGGTGACCTCTTGAGGTAGCCCCAGCCCGGGGATCCGGAGAACCATCCCTACCCCTTTCCACTGTTTCCAGATCCTACCCTGCCCAGTGCTAGGAGGAATTTCTTGACGCCCCTTCTCTTTCCCCATTTCCTCTCTAGCATGGAGAAAAGCCCCTGTCATCCCTTTTATTTTCATTCCTTTCTGAGGAGAAGATCCGTCTAACCCCTTTATGGCCCCAGTGTCCAGGGAAAGGATGATCACTGTCAGAAGTCGTGGCGCGGGAGCCCACCGGGCGCTTTGTCACACTCCACCGAAAGTCCCGACTTGGTGACAGTGTGCTTCCCTTCCCTCCCCAACAGTCCCGAGTGAGCTGTGCTTTAGCTCTCGTGGGAGTGGATGAAGGGAGGGTTTAAAGAGAGTCATTGCTCCACTTTACCCTTTTGGAGAAATGGCTTGAAATTTGCTGTGCCACGAGCAGCATGGGAATAGTCCTTCCTGAACCCTGGAAAGGAGCTCCTGCCAGCCTTGCACACACTTTGTCCTGGTGAAAGGCAGCGCTGGAGCAGGTGGTTTTTTGGAACCCTAAACTTACCCACCCAACTTGCTTCTGAAAGCCACCTAAGGGGTCCCTTTCCGCTCCTCCCTGACACCTTCCCTCAGCCAGAATCCCCTTGGAGAGGACGCGAGAGGAAAGCCATGGACAGGGGTCGCTGCTAGCACCACAAGTTCCTCAGACCCTGGCACAAAGGCCTTGGCTACAGGCCTCCAAGTAGGGAGGAGGGGGAGGAGTGGCTGCCTGGCCACAGTGTGACCTTCAGAGGCCCCCAGAGAAGGACACCTGGCCCCTGCCTGCCTAGAACCGCCCCTCCTGTGCCCCCTGGCCTTAGAAGGGGTATGCAATTTCCGTCCCCTTTCCTCACTGGGGCCCAGGAGGAGTGAAGGGTCTAGGAAGAATATTGTCAGGGGGAAGCCAGGGGGTGTCATGGGAATGGGCGAGGGGCTGAGCTGCACAATCCAGGGGTCCCTGAGGAAGCCTCAGTGGGAGGGGTCCAGCTAGAAGCCTGGGAGATGTTGTTTTCTCTTGAGAGGGGCTTCCTGTAAGGACCCCTTCCCGTGTGACCTTGGCTTTCTCTGGGATCAGGGCTGGGGGACCTGAGTGTGGTACATTTGGGTTGTGTGAGGGACAGTGGAACTCCCACCAGCAGGGTTTGGTGTTTCATAGGCTAGTGCCCCTCTGGTTGTGAGTGCTGGGCAGGAGGGGAGTTGGTGAGAGCCAGAGACCCTGAGGAAGGGCTGGCAGAAGGCTTTCCTTTCGGGTGCAGCCAGGTCCGCGTGTCTGGGTGTGTTGACCTTCACAGCTTCTGGGGAGGGGAGGAATTATGTGGGGGTGGGGAGGGTTAGGGGAGGCCTCAGGCCTAAGGTGGTGCAGGGGGCCCCCTAGGGGCTGGGCAGTGCCAAGGCATAAAAGCCTTCCCTAGTGTCATTTTGAAGAAGGTGCCCAGGTGAGAGGGGCTTGGGACCTCCTCACCTTGGGAGTGAGAAGAAACCAGCGAACAGGTGGGAGTGGGAGACTGGTGAGGCTTTGGAAATCTACTGAGGCTCTGGAGAGATTTGTTCAGGGAGGAATATGGGGTTCTCTTCCCCTAGGGTCTCCTCCTGGGTTTTTCCCCTCGAAGTAACCTGTGGGCATGCTGGATTATTCCTAGGACTAGAAGAGCTTGGATGGGGGAGGGTGGTTGGTGCCCTTCGGTCCTCAGCACCCCCCTCCCTCTCCAACACCAGCTCACCCTGGTATTTGTCATGTCAGCAGGAGAAGGTCACCATGTTGTTTTTCTCGCCCCCAGTCCTTCCTTCCTGCCCCAGTCCAAATTTGTCCTCCTGTTTGACCTTAATACTTACCATGGCTTTGGACTAGGGAATCAGGGGGACCGTGAGAGCAAGGAGAGGGAAGTGTGGGGAGGGTACAGGGGACCTGGACAGCGAAGCATTCTGGGATTTTCCTCCTGCATTTCCAGCTCCCCAGCCCCCAACATCTGGTTAGTCTTTAACTTCCTCGGGTTCATAATCGGAGCAGTCCAGGAGTGGTGGGCATATTTTGTGCCCCAGGGGACCCCGGGTTGTGTCCTCTTTGACTCAGAAGACTTGGAGAAGCCAGAGGCTGTGGGTGGGAGGGAAGTGAGGAGGGAGGAGGGGCCGGGTGGCTGGGCCTGTGCACCCTGGTCCTGGCCCCTGCCCCTGCCCATGTCTTGCTCTCTTTCTGTCCTCAGTGGTCCCAGGCTGCACCCATGGCAGAAGGAGGAGGGCAGAATCACCACGAAGGTGAGTCCCCCTGGCTCTTGGATGGAGGTTCCCTGTCCTCTCAGGGGATGGGTGGACGGCCTAATTCCTTTTCTGTGGGGAGGAAGGGGAAGAGGCACAGGAATATGAGGATCAAGAAAGAAAAAGCTGGATCCCATGAGGTTCACCCCGTTTTGTGAGGACCCTCCGCTGTTCAGGTCTCTGCTAGAAATAGGACTTGTTGCCTTTTTCTTCTGCTCTTTCCAGTACAGTTTTATTCAGAGAAGGAGCCATGAGCACAGAGCAAGAAGACAGTGTTCAGGGATCCTAGATGCTGGGAAAAGTGTCCCTGTCTTCCCTAGCTCCTGGGGGAGGGTGGACATTCAGCGTCATTTCCTATATAGGCATGTCCCACTCACGGGAACTGTGACCCCTCCTGTGTGAGCTGGAGGTGCAGAGGGCTCAGCCTAATGGGATCTCCCCTCCTTTCCCTGGTTTGCATTCCTTTGCGGGTGGAGAAAGCCCCACTTGACTAGGTTCGGGTGCTGTGAACTTCCCTCCCAGGCCAGCAGAGGGCTGGCTGTAGCTCCCAGGCGCCCCGCCCCCCTGCCCAACCCCAAGTCCGCCTGCCTTTTGTTCCGCTGTGGTTTGGATCCTCCCATTTCTCTGGGGACACCCTGGCTCTCCCCACCACTGACTGTGGGCTGTGCTTTCCACCTCCGGGGAGGAAAGGCCCTGGGGTCTTCCTTTAGGCAAGTTTCCCTGACCTAAATCCAGCATAGCTGGGTAGTGGCCAGAGTGGTGGTGCCCAGCCTGTTCTGCCTCCTCGTTCCCCACCCCAGGAGCCCCTTCCTTGGCCTAGGACCTGGCTACTCAGCCGTTGACCAGCCCCCTGCTTCTAGTGCGCCACTCGCTCCTTTCAGCTTTCCAGTGGTCTCTGGTCTGGGAGAGGCAAGACAAATGGTCTTTGTTTGCTGGAGAAAAGGTTGTCTGCGATACATAAGGAAAACCACGACAGCCTGGTGTTGGAGCCCGTATGTGCTCCCGGGCAGCGGAGGCCAGCCCGCCTTGGAGGGGTGGCTGCCTGATGAAGGGTGTGGGTGGGGTTGCCCCCCTTCCACCTCCCATGGGGCTTGGGGATTCCAAGGAGAAGCTTTTCTGGGGAATTCCTACCCCAGGTCTTTTTACCCTCATCTACCAACCCCTTGCCCAGCCCAGACCTTTCTGCTGTGCCCTCTTGGGCCACAAGCCTGGCTCTCCTCTGTCCCAGCCTTGATGAAGGGGACAGTTCCAAACTTCTTGATTGGTCATCTGCTTCCCTGTTGATTTGGCTTTAAAAAATGACTTTTTCAGACTTCGGGTCTCGTTCACTCGTTCCGGTAACCCTTGGTGGGTAGAGAAGGATTCTGTGCCTGTTGGTGGTCTGGATAAAAGTAGAGACCTCACAGGAGGCAGTGGACGGGCTTGGTTCCCGCTGTTCTTTCTGTTTTCACACCTGTGGCCTTCTCCCCACCTTCCTCCCAACCAACCTGTTGTGTACATACCCCCCCCATTGTCCTTTATTCTTCTGGAAAGCAGACCTTGGAGGGAGGAGTGAGGGGGAGGTCCGATATGGTTTCTGGGGTGGGGTTGGGAGCTGGGGTGGAAGTCCACTGGGCATACACTTAAGATGCTTTGGTGAAGTTCTAAACTTCATATTACCCAGGCTGAAAAAGAGCACTTGTTCCCAGGGCTGGAAATGGAAGACAGAACTCCACCTTTTCAGCCTATTTCAGTGTCTGAGATCAGCCCAACCCACTTCTACAGTTGAGCAGAGTTGGAGGCCCGGAGACGGGAGGGACTGGCCCAAGGTCGCACCAACTCATGGCCAGAGCCTGGGCCTCCTCACTGGCCAGGTGTTATTTCTTCCCTCTGTGTAGGGAACCCATTTCAGGGACAGGCTTGCTATGTGCTAGTGTTGCCGGGGGAGGGAGCGGGGGGAGGCGATGGGAGTGGCAGGCTGGGCCACAATTTGGAATAGTCATGCCGGAGTCCTGCATTTATTTATTCTCAAGGGCTCCACCCCTGTGGCCCAGAATTACCCCTTCATGCTCCAATGCACCCCAGGCTCTGCCGCCAGCCTGGGAAACTGTCTTTACCCTGGTCTCCCTCCAGATCAACTTCTAGAAATGTTTCGTGGTTACAGTGGCAGCACTGTTTTTTCCATGATGCAAGGAGTTTGCCCTCTTGGGCGGGGTTATCAGTGTCTGGTAGGGCTCTCAGCATGACCGCCCACTGCCACCTGCTGGTTCCAGGCGGGCCCAGCCCCTGTGCTGATGGCCACCACCTTCCCAGCTCAGGTCTGAGGAAGGGGACTGGCAGGGGGAAAGGTGCCTCCTCTGTTTTTGCCTGATACAGGCTTGGGAACACTTTGATGTCAGCTAATTCTCACTCTTTTTACTTACTTGCTGTGTGGGCTTGGGGCAAGTCACTTAGCCTCTCTGGGCCTCCTGTTCCCCATCTGTAAAATGCAATCTCAGTAGTGTCTAATGGTATCATGTGGAGAGACTTGTGTGAGATGATAGCTGCAGCCTACTGTGCACAGTACCCAGCATGTAGTAACTGCTCAATAAATAGTTGCTGCTGCAGTTGATGTCATGGTAGTGGTTGTGGGGAGGTTGTAGGAAACTGGAGACTAACTTGGCAAAGCTGACTCTTCCTCCTTTTAGGGGAAGCTTAGAGCATCCCCATGGGGTGTACCCACAGTCAAACTGTCTTTTGTCATCGAGTTTGACCCAGGATTCAGTTCAGCTGTCACAGTGAGGTGGCAGGATCAGATGTGGCAGGCCATGTCCCTTGGAACTTGAGTACATTGTGTGATCTCTGGAATAAAAACAGGCCTTTACCAGTGTTGATGGTGGGAAGCTGAGGGAAGTGCTTTCAACGCAGTAGGAGGGACTGAAGTTAGATTTTTGGAAGGACTTGCCTGATACAGAAGCTCCAGGGAGTGGCTTTGCAGAGCTGAGTGGAGAGTGGGGCTAGCCGTCTTTTGTGTCACCCACTGGGCTCATGCATCGCCGCCTCTCATGCAGTGGTGAAGTTCATGGATGTCTACCAGCGCAGCTACTGCCATCCGATCGAGACCCTGGTGGACATCTTCCAGGAGTACCCTGATGAGATCGAGTACATCTTCAAGCCATCCTGTGTGCCCCTGATGCGATGTGGGGGCTGTTGCAATGATGAGGGCCTGGAGTGTGTGCCCACTGAGGAGTTCAACATCACCATGCAGGTGGGCATCTTTGGGAAGTGGGGGCAGGGGGGCATAGGGAGGGGTGTAACACTTTGGGAACAGGTGGTTCCAGGTCCCTTCCTGGCTAGACTTGCCTTGTCCAGCTCCTGCCTCTGAGTTGCACAGGGGAGGTGTGCCAGGGTCTTGTCTTGCCTTCTGTGGAGAAGATGTTTGCATTCCCAGCCCAGGATCCCAGCAAGCCCCAACCATCTCCTCCTTACTGATGGTTTACCCCTGGGCTCAGGAGGGGGCAGATGGGTGCCTGTGCCAGGGGGCCCCTCTCTTCTCTTGAAGAGAGTCCAGAGGGCCCTCCCATCTTGGGGGCTCTGTTTGGGAAGCTGGATGAACCTGGTCCATGGAGAGTTTAAAAAGTCTTTTGGTGTTACCTGGTGATGGGGCACATCTCAGCCCAGATAGGGTGGGAGGGAGCTGTGAGCCACAGGGAGGGGGTTGCTTTCGGGTATGTACTGGGAGTCAGGGTGAGGCCTAGGGAGGATGAAAGAAGGGGAGGGAATGGGGAGTGGTAATAATCTAGGATTTGAATTCCCAGCCTGGCCAACCCTTGCAGCCGTGTCTTGGCCTCAAGTGGAATGAGGGCTCCTTGAGGCCAGCAGGGTTGGGGGAGTTGAGGTGGGCCTGAGCCTCTTTCCTGTTAGAGCTCTTGGTCCTCCCTGCCTCCACCACCCATCCCTGCTCTGCAGAACCCCTGGGTGCTGAGTGACAGGAGCCCCAGGGTTGTCCCATCTGGGTTTGGCTGGCTGGGTCACTAACCTCTGTGATCTGCTTCTTTCCCCCCCAGATTATGCGGATCAAACCTCACCAAGGCCAGCACATAGGAGAGATGAGCTTCCTACAGCACAACAAATGTGAATGCAGGTGAGGATGTAGTTACGGATTCATTATCAGCAAGTGGCTGAAGGGCACCTGGTCTGTGCCAGGGTTAAGCATGTTGTACGTTAGCCCACGTCCAGCTTCCAGCTGCGTGACCTTGGGCATTTTACTTCAATGTGCCTCAGTTTCTACGTCTGTAAAATGGGTACAGTAGTAGTATATCTTAGAGCCTTGTTATAAGGATTAAATAAGTTATATATGAGGAGATTAAAACAGTGTGGCTCCATCATAAATGCTGTTTTTACTGTGGTTTTAACAATGATAGTGTTATTATCCCCTATCATTGTCATCACCGTCTTAACCCTTCTCTGTTTTGTTCTTTTCTCTCTCCCTACCCATTTCAGACCAAAGAAAGATAGAGCAAGACAAGAAAAGTAAGTGGCCCTGACTTTAGCACTTCTCCCTCTCTGTGGCCGGTTGTCTTGATCTGGGGCTCTTGGCTACCTCTGTTGGGGGCTCTCGTGGCCTCCCTGGGTCAGGGAGTTGGTCTTATGGGGGACTTGTGGTGGCAGCAACAACGGGATGGTTCCAGCTCCAGGGTGATGGCTCTAGGGTTAGTGAGAAATCCCAGCCAGGAGCCTGGCACTTGCTTTGGAAGGGACCATGCCTTCCGGGTCTCCGGATCATTCCTGGGCAGGACTTGCTGTTTCGGTGTGTCAGGGGCAATATGGACACTGACTTCCTGGCTTGCTCTGGGGCACCCACAGTGGGGAGAGGACATAGGTGGCAGAGGAAACAGCCTCTTTTTGGGGTGGCTGTGATGGTGCAGTTGGATGTGAGGCTGGCTGGAGGGTGTTTCTCAGTGCAGGCCCTCCTGTCGGCAGCAGGCAGCAGACACACAGCCCTCTTGGCCAGGGAGAAAAAGTTGAATGTTGGTCATTTTCAGAGGCTTGTGAGTGCTCAGTGTTCAGGGTCGGGTAGGATGGTGGGGGACAAGGTCTGGTGACAGTAAGCCTTCAAGACAGGGTGGGTGGCTGGCATCGGCTCGAGCTTGTAGGGAAAGAGAGACTGAGAGAGAGCACCTGGGCCCTGCCCTTCCCCACACCATCCTGTCTGCCCCCAGTGCTGTGGGGACATTGAAGTCCCCTATGCCTCACCCCCTTGCCTCTTCCCTCAGCCTGCAGCTTCCAGATTGAGAGGATGCGGAAACCCTCCTTCCACCCTTTGGTGCTTTCTCCTAAGGGGGACAGACTCACCCTCTCTGGTCCCTTCTCCCCCTCCTTTCTTCCCTGTGACAGACATTCTGAGGTGTGTTCTCTCGGGCCTGGCAGGCATGGAGGGCGCTGGTTCTCTTGAGGGGCACAGGCTACAGCTTGCCCCCTTCCCATTTCCCCGAATGACTGCTTTGCCACGGGGAGAGTAGGGGGCTCGCCTGGGCTCGGAAGAGTGTCTGGTGAGATGGTGTCGCAGGCTTTGACAGGCTGGGGAGAGAACGCCCTGCCAAGTACCGCCCAGGCCCCTCCTCCCCAGCCCTCCCTAACTCCCACCCCACCCTGCTGCCTGTCCGGGGCTCCCGGACACCCGGCCGTGCCTCCCAGTCCAGGTCGTGCTGAGCAGGCTGTTGCCTTTTTGTGTTGCTCTTGGTTCTGTGCCAGCTCCGAAGGTAGCTGCTTCCCCCACGCCGGGATTCCCAGAGGTTCTGTCGCACTCAGAAATGAAAGCAGAAGGTGCCCGATGCTCAGCCTGCCCTCCCACTCCTGCTCCCCATCCAGGCAGCTCTCTGACCTTCTCCCCGAAGCCTGGCCTACCTTTCATCACCCCCTGACCTTCAGGGTCAGACTTGGACAGAGTTGCTGGGCAAAGAGCCTTCCCTCGGGCTTTGCCCTCTGCCAGGGACCAGGAGCCTCTGTGAGCATGGAGACCCTTGCGTCCTGTGCCCTCTACCCAGTCTCAGTTTCCCACCCTTAACCTTGTCAGGGTCTGTGTTTGCCACTGCAGGGTGGCCGGTGTGAGGAGAAGAAAGAGCCATTGAGTGCTTGCTGCCCAGACACTCCTGTGTGTTTCTGTGCATGCCTTCCCAGAGACACTTGCCTCCTGACACTTCCTCCAGGAAGCCTCCCTGTGTGGCTTTGCTTTGGTCCTTCCCCTATCCCTGCCCTCCTCACTGCTTCTTTTACTCCACCCGACCCCCGACCGCCCCTGCTCTCTCTCTGTCTCTGTTTTTTTATTTTCCAGAAAATCAGTTCCAGGAAAGGGAAAGGGGCAAAAACGAAAGCGCAAGAAATCCCGGTATAAGTCCTGGAGCGTGTACGTTGGTGCCCGCTGCTGTCTAATTCCCTGGAGCCTCCCTGGCCCCCAGTCCAGCTCCCGCCTGCTGTACCCCATAACCCTGCCTCCCTCCCTTGGTCCCTCCCTGGCGCTCATCCCCCTGGCCCTTGTCTCTTTCTCTCACTCTCACTCCACTAATTGGCACCAACGGGTAGATTTGGTGGTGGCGTTGCTGGTCCAGGGTTGGGTGAATCGGGGGGGCGAGCAGGCCTGGAGGATTGAGGGCGGGGACTCTGGCTTGGCTGGGCACCCATTTTCTCTCACCCACTGGGCACTGGTGGCGGGCCCATGTTGGCACGGGTGCCTGCTCACCCAACTGGTTTCCATTGCTCTAGGCTTCTGCATTCGTCTGGAAGCTGAGGGTAGTGGGGAGGGCAGACGTGGCCCAAGAAGGGCCGTGAATGACCCAAGGCGGCTTGTCGAATGACTCCTCAGCTGAAGGAGGAGCTTGGGTGGGATCACACACCATGTGGCAGCCTCTCTTCATCTAGTGGAAGTGCCCTGGCTCCTCATGGAGTAAGGGGCCTCTGGAGGGGAGCCCCCTATTCCAGTCCAACCCAAGGCACCTGCAGAGTGCTCCCTGTAGGGCAGTCTCTTCCTCTGGGTTGGAGGCTACGGTGGGCCCTGCCCTGGGCCTTCTGGCCACCAGCAGCCTGGCCTGTGGATGCTGCCTGTGGGCTTAGCCTCCCATCACACCCTACTTTAGCCCACCTTGGTGGAGGGGCCTGGGCATGAGCCGGTGCATAGGGAGAAGGTGGCCCCTGCCATCTCAGTGGCCCTTGATTGCCATCCCCAGCCAGTGAAGAGTCAAGGCGTGCTCAGATGGGGGTGGCAGCAGTTGGGTCCCTGTGGCCTGAGACTCACTCTTGTCGCCCAGGGACACAACATTGCCCCTCACGGCAGTCTCTCCCTGCACTCTCTGCCCGCCTGTGCCTGCCTCTTCCTGTGGCAGGTGTCCTAGCCAGTGCTGCCTCTTTCTGCTGCTCTCTCTGTCTTCTGCTGTAGCACTCAGATCCTTCCAGGGCGTGGAAGGGCGTGGGGGCTGACCAGCTGGGTGGGGGTGCAGCTGTGGACGTGTCAGGGGGTGTTGCATGGTGATTTTTTTTTCTCTCTCTCTGCTGATGCTCTAGCTTAGATATCTTTCCTTTTGCCTTTTTGCAGTCCCTGTGGGCCTTGCTCAGAGCGGAGAAAGCATTTGTTTGTACAAGATCCACAGACGTGTAAATGTTCCTGCAAAAACACAGACTCGCGTTGCAAGGCGAGGCAGCTTGAGTTAAACGAACGTACTTGCAGGTTGGTTCCCAGAGGGCGAGCAAGTCAGAGAGGGGCATCACACAGAGATGGGGAGAGAGAGAGAGAGAGAGAAAGAGAGCGAGCGAGCGAGCGAGAGAGCGCCTGAGAGGGGCCAGCTGCTTGCTCAGTTTCTAGCTGCCTGCCTGATGACTGCTGCCTTCTCTGCTTTTAAGGCCCCATGGTGGGCTGCAGGCGCTGATCCAGCCTGGCGGGGCCTGTTCTGAGGTTGGCCTGGTTGCCTGAGTGGTAGGCTGGTGTGGCTTAGTGTGGTGGTGTGGACGCAAGCTGTGTGTTGTGTCCTGTGGTCCTTCTGCTCATAGTGGCTGTTGGTCCTGACGTTATTACTCCTCTGGTACTAATGCTGAGAAGCTGAAAGCCGGCTCCAGGTGTGGACGATGTCCACAAGGCATAGACGCTCTCACTGCGCTCACCGGGGCCTGGGCTGCTCTCACGGCTCTCTCCAGGGCCTGGCCTCGGTCGGCCCTTTGATGTCTGCGTGGCTGAGCTTCTCACTCACTCAGTGTTTCTTGATGGGGGAAGGGATTGAGTCTCCCACTTCAGACTTGGCCTCCCTGAGGAAAGGGTTGTGTCACCCCCTTTGGACTGGGGCTCCCTGAGGACAGGGATAGGTCTCTCCCTTCAGACTGGGGCTCCCTGAGGATAGGGCCATGTCTCCCCCCTCAACTGGGGCTCCCTGAGGAGAGGGCCATGTCTCCCCCCTCAAGTAGGGCTCCCTGAGGATAGGGCCATGTCTCCCCCCTCAAATGGGGCTCCCTGAGGATAGGGCCATGTCTCCCCCATCAGACTGGGGCTCCCTGAGGATAGGGCCATGTCTCCCCCCTCAGACTGGGACTCCCTGAGGATAGGGACATGTCTCCCCCCTCAGACTGGGGCTCCCTGAGGATAGGGCCATGTCTCTTCCCTCAGACTGGGGTTCCCTGAGGATAGGGCCATGTCTCTTCCCTCAGACTGGGGCTCCCTGAGGATTAGGCCATGTCTCCCCTCTCAAACTGGGGCTCCCTGAGGATAGGGCCATGTCTCTTCCCTCAGACTGGGGCTCCCTGAGGATTGGGCCATGTCTTCCCCCTCAGACTGGGGCTCCCTGAGGATAGGGCCATGTCTCCCCCCTCAGACTGGTGCCCCTGAGGATAGGGCCATGTCTCCCCACTCAGACTGGGGCTCCCTGAGGATAGGGCCATGTCTTCTCCCTCAGACTGGGGCTCCCTGAGCATTGGGCCATGTCTCCCCCCTCAGACTGGGGCTCCCTGAGGCCAGGACTATGTCTCCACCCTCAGACTGGGGTTCCCTGAGGCCAAGGCTATGTCTCCCCCCTCAGACTGGGGCTCCTTGAGGCCAGGACTACGTCTCTCCCCTCAGACTGGGGTTCCCTGAGGATAGGGCCATGTCTCCCCACTCAGTCTGGGGCTCCCTGAGGATTGGGCCATGTCTCCCTCCTCAGACTGGGGTTCCCTGAGGCCAGAGCTATGTTTTTTCCCTCAGACTGGGGCTCCCTGAGGCCAGGGCTATGTCTCCCCCCTCAGACTGGGGCTCCCTGAGGCCAGGGCTATGTCTCCCCCCTCAGACTGGGGCTCCCTGAGGCCAGGGCTATGTCTCCCCGCTCAGACTAGGGCTCTCTGAGGGCAAGGGCTCTGGCTATTGGTTTAGGACAGGGCAGTTTTGCCTACACACTGAAGGAGCTGTAGCATTTGATATAACTTTAATCCTCCACCAGTCATGGTGACAACCCCAAGCAGCCCACACATTTTCAAGTGCCCCCAGGATGCGTGGAGGGAGGGTTCTGTGCCCATTCTCCTGACATTAGACCATAAACTCCATAAGCCCGGGCCCGGTTTAGTTACCTTTGTGAACCCCAGGCATCTGTACCTCTGCCCCTTGTCCATGTTGAGGACCAGGGAGGTATCAAATGAATGAATGAATGAATGCATACCACAGTTCAGGGGGGCGAGGCTGGGAGCACAGGCTGGGCCAGGCGGCTGGCAATCTTTCAATGCCTTAGCCTGAGTTCTTTATACCAGTTTGGCTGTGCTCAGTGAGGGAGGCCCTGGAGAGTAAGGATAAGCTTCACTTAGGGAGGCAGGACTTTTATGAGGATTCCCCAGACAGGGCCAAGGCACCGCCAGCACACCCCAAGGCTGCATTAGGGGAGTCTCCCCTCCCCCACCAATGTTCTTGTGGCTTGTGGGTGCTCAGGGGATGCTGGGAACCAGGCCTGGGTAGTTGGTATGATTCTGTCTGTCTTAGCCCTATGTAAAACCAAGTGGTGTATATTAGTGCTGGGGGTGGGGGCTCTGCCTAACTTCAGTTCTAGATGAGGGGGTCTCAGTTCCCCAGGGGTCCTTGGGGAAGATTAGGGACTTGACATTTTAGGATTTTTTTTGGTGATGATCCTGCAGACGGGTGTGTGTGTGTGAAGTGACCTGGAGCTAACTGAAGTTACCCTAACCTCCTAATTCCTTACCCAACCCTCAAGCTGGCTGGATCTGCAAATATCAGTTTCCAAAATCGGAGGCTTAGGACTCCCATTTCTGGGCTCCCAGAAGGGTAGGGCCTGCTCTGCCTCCTCCTCACAATCAGCCCAGGGGCAGGAGCATGCCGAGAAAGTTCTGGGAGGCCCCCTTTGCTTCAGCAGGAGTAGCGAAGCTGCAGGATCGTCTCTCCCCATCCTAAGTGAAGCAGCATATTGGAAAGGGAAGAGCTGGGGACCTGGGACTGCAGCCTCTAGCCAGCTCAAGAGAAATGAGGCCTGCAGCCACACTGGGAGGGGACACGGGGAATGGAGATGTTCCTTCACCTTCCTGGGGCCTCCTGCTCTAGCTACCCCTTTGGGAGCCTCCCATCCCCAGGGCAGGCCTTTGCTGTCGCTGGCCACCCAGCCAAGCCTCTCTGCCTCAGGCGTTCTCCCCGAGGCTCTGCCCACTCTCTTCCCCATACCAGCCCCTAGAGACCAATCGGAAAAACCTCCTCAGCAGGGAGCCTCTTCTGATTAACTTCATCTAGCTCTGGTCACCCCTTGGCTCTTAAAATGTCAGGTGGAGACTGTTCTTTGGTATCCGTTCATTTGTTGCTTTGTAAAGTGTTCCCATGTCCTTGTCTTGTCTCAGTAGATTGAGAGCTCCAGAGGGCAGACTGGGAGCCCCTGAGAGGAGCTACTGCTCAGACTGGGGCTCCCTGAGGGTGGGGCTGGGGCTGCTCTCACACTGGGGCTTTTTGTCCCAGGACCACACCTTCCTGTCCTCTTGGCTCTTAAGGTGCCGGAAGCTGCAGTGACCCAGAGGCCCCCAGGAATGGGGAGGCCGTCTGCCTCGTCGCTAGGCCCCCTCACTTGGCTCTAACTCCAGCCTTCGTTTTCCATTCCCCTCAGATGTGACAAGCCAAGGCGGTGAGCCGGGCAGGAGGACGGAGCCTCCCTCAGGGTTTCGGGAACCAGATCTCTCACCAGGAAAGACTGACACAGAATGATGGATACAGAAAGCACGCTGCCGCCACCACACCATCACCATCGACAGAACAGTCCTTAATCCAGAAACCTGAAATGAAGGAAGAGGAGACTCTGCGCAGAGCACTTTGGGTCCGGAGGGCAAGACTCCGGCAGAAGCATTCCCGGGCGGGTGACCAAGCACGGTCCCTCTTGGAATTGGATTCGCCATTTTGTTTTTCTTGCTGCTAAATCACCGAGCCCGGAAGATTAGAGTTTTATTTCTGGGATTCCTGTAGACACACCCACCCACATACATACGTTTATATATATATATATATATATATATATTATATATATAAAATAAATATCTATATTTTATATATATAAAATATATATATTCTTTTTAAATTAACAGTGCTAATGTTATTGGTGTCTTCACTGGATGTATTTGACTGCTGTGGACTTGAGCTGGGAGGGGAACGTTCCCACTCAGATCCTGACAGGGAAGAGGATGAGACGAGAGACTCCGGCATGATCTTTTTCTTTGTCCCACTTGGCCGGGCCAGGGTCCTCTCCCCTGCCCAAGAATGTGCAAGGCCAGGGCATGGGGGCAAATATGACCCACTTTCAGGAACACCGACAAACCCAACCCTGGCGCTGAGCCTCTACCCTCGGTCAGACGGACAGAAAGGCAGATGACAGGTACAGGGACGAGCACACTGGCTCTGACTAGGAGTTTGGGGAGCTTCAGGACGTTGCTGTGCTTTGGGGATTCCCTCCACATGCTGCACGCGAATCTCACCCCCAGGAGCATTGCCTGGAAGATTCAGGAGCCTGGGCGGTGTTCACTTACTCTCACCTGCTTCCGAGTTGCCCGGGAGGCCACTGACAGATGTCCCAGCAAAGAGAAGAGACACGTGTTGGAAGCAGCAGCCCATGACAGCGCCTCCTCCTGGGACCCACCCTCATCTTCTTCCTGCTCCCCTTCCTGGGGTGCAGCCTAAAAGGACCCGATGTCCTCACACCATTGAAACCACTAGTTCTGTTCCCCCAGGAGGCCTGGTTGTGTGTGTGTGAGTGGTTAACCCTCCTCCATCCCCTGGCCCTTCCCTTCCCAAGGCACAGAGAGACAGGGCAGGATCCACATGCCCATTGTGGAGGCGGAGAAAAGAGAAAGTGTTTTGTATACGGTACTTATTTAATATCCCTTTTTAATTAGAAATTAAAACAGTTAATTTAATTAAAGAGTAGGGTTTTTTTCAGTATTCTTGGTTAATATTTAATTTCAACTATTTATGAGATGTATCTTTTGCTCTCTCTCGCTCTCTTATTTGTACTGGTTTTTGTATATAAAATTCATGTTTCCAATCTCTCTCTCCCTGATCGGTGACAGTCACTAGCTTATCTTGAACACATATTTAATTTTGCTAACACTCAGCTCTGCCCTCCCCTTCCCCCTGGCTCCCCAGCACACATTCCTTTGAAATAGGGTTTCAATATACATCGACATACTATATATATATTTGGCAACTTGTATTTGTGTGTATATATATATATGTTTATGTATATATGTGATTCTGATAAAATAGACATTGCTATTCTGTTTTTTATATGTAAAAACAAAACAAGAAAAAATAGAGAATTCTACATACTAAATCTCTCTCCTTTTTTAATTTTAATATTTGTTATCATTTATTTATTGGTGCTACTGTTTATCCGTAATAATTGTGGGGAAAAGATATTAACATCACGTCTTTGTCTCTAGTGCAGTTTTTCGAGATATTCCGTAGTACATATTTATTTTTAAACAACGACAAAGAAATACAGATATATCTTAAAAAAAAAAAGCATTTTGTATTAAAGAATTTAATTCTGATCTCAAAGCTCCTCTTGGTTTCTCCTTCTCCATGGAATCCTTGCTCTAGACTTTCTCCCACCCCTTTCCCTCTTTCTTTGGGGAACGTGGCATTTTTCTTGGGTCTGGGAAAGGTGTGTCTAATGTGTAGGCCTTGTTCTGGGGGTGAAGTCCTTCCATTTTGGTTGAGCTGGTCCCGGGGGAACCCATCCATCCTGTCTTGATATAGAAGGTGGGAAGCTCTGGGAATGGGTGGGACAGGAGAAACAGCTCATCAGACAGGAACCAAGGACCCTTGCAATAGGTAGCGCTGCCTTCAGGAATTAGGTGATCCAGGCCTCTGTGCCTTGGCCAAAGAAGGAACTGGCCATGTCTCCAAGCTTGCTGCCTGGGAGATAGGAGAGAGCTGTGTACAGCTGTGGGGGTCTTATTGGCTGCGACTGGCTGGGAGTGAGCAGGGGATGCTGCTAGAGGGCTGTGACGCCGGGGTGTAACTTAATTTTACATAGTTACACCCTGGAGCTCCTTGAGCCTCTGGAAGATAGACCCATAGTTCTGGTCTCTGACTCCTTGCCCAACCTTGCTGCATAAGCTCTTCTCTCATGTCCTGCTCCTGGTACGGTGGCACCTGTCCAGATCTTTGGCACTGAAGAGCAGTGCTTCCAGATTTACTTCCTTTACTCCTGTAGCCTCTCATTTGTTTTTGTAAACCATAAATATGGCTTGAATAAATATTGAGCCAGCCATTATGCTGCTATGAATAAGATACAGTTCCACCCCTCAAGGATCTGGTGAGAGTGAGTGGGCGAGGAGACAAAAAACTATACATCTGTGAGCAGAAAAATAAATAAAATGTGCTGGGGGGCATCTGATCCAGTTTGGGGGTGGTAGTAGTTGTGTGGGGGTGGTGTCTTCTCATGACATTATCTCTAGGCTGCCTAGAGGATGGTTTGAAGGTAGGGAGAACAGAGCAGGAGGGAGGTGAAAGGGTTGAGGGCATCCTAGGCAGAAAGGATAGTGTGAGCAAGGCATGAAGGTGGCACTTGGGCAGGGAGTGGGTGGTGGGGGGAGGCTGGAAACATGGTCAGGTGTTAGCGCCGGGGGAGCCTACAAGCACCATGCCAAGAGCGTAGGTCCTCTCAGGGATGAGCAGCAGCTGAGGGGCTTTAAACACGAGTGGCCCAGTCAGATACACTTGTCCACAGATGCCTGGCAACAGAATGGGAGGCAGAGAGGCTGTTGTAGTCTTAGAGGAGGAATCGCGATGAGGGTGGGGAAGTTGCTTTGGTGACTGGCAGCATGGGCACGTGCAAGGTCTCAGCCTCAGGCAGCTTTTGGTCTACTAAGTGGTCCTTTCCCAATCACTGACCACGTGCCAGTCCCTACATTGGTGAACACTGAATCTGCACAGCAGCCCTGGGAGGCAGGTGCTTTTTTTTTTTTTTTTCCAAGATGAAGTCTTGCTTTGTTGCCCAGGCTGGAGTGCAATGGTGTGATCTCGGCTCCCCGCAACCCCGCCTCCCGGTTTCAAACGATTCTCCTGCTTCAGCCTCCCGAGTAGCTGGGATTACAGGCACGCACCACCAAGCCTGGCTAATTTTTGTATTTTTAGTAGAGACTGGGGTTTCACCATATTGGTCAGGCTCGTCTTAAATGCCTGACTTCAGAGGATCTACCTGCCTCAGCCTCCCAAAAGTGCTGGGATTACAGGCATGGGCCACTGTACCCAGCCTATTAATGAGAAATTGTATATTCTTTTGGTACTAAGTCTTTGCATCTGTCCAAGGGCAGAAATCGGGTGTAAAGAAAAAAATACGTCTTTGAATCTGATACTTACCGCGTGTCTCAATTGGTTGTAGCCACGTTTCGAGTGCTTAATCTACACATGGCTAGTGGCTATCATTTCTGACAGTGTAGCATTAAAATGTACTCCCCCTTTTGTTTGTCTTCCCCAATTAGAATGCAAGCCCCATGAGGGAAGAGATTTTTGTCTGTTTCGTTCATTGTATCTCCAGCTCCTGGAACAGTGCCTGGAACATAGTACGTGCTCAATAAACATTTGTTAAATGACTGACATTATTGACACTGAGCCCTGATCCTGAGAGTTTCATTCCAAGGCTATGGAGGTGAGTACAGGATTTCTACAGAGATGCCAGGAGTGGTTGGTGGAGGGTTAGCAGGACAGGTGGGGACTTGAGCAGGGATTGTCTAGGAGAAGTGAGCTCAAAGTCAGCTGGTAGGGATTACAGCAGAGGCCTCTTCATCACTGTCTCCTCTTAGCCACCCTGGAGATGGGGCTCATTATGATTGTTTGGCAGATGAGGAGCAGGAGGCCCAGAGAAGGTAAATAACTTGCCCGAATTTACGCAGAGCCAGTAAATGGCCAAGCCAGAATTTAAACCAGCTTTCCTGACTCCAAATCTAGTGCTCTTTTCACCACACCACAGCTGCCCTAGGCTAGGGCAGGACATCAACAAATAAAAATGAATCGTCTAGACTGAATACAAACAGGCAAGAAGAAAAGTGGGACAGGGGGAGGATGTAGCGGTGGCCAAACCCAGGGCTGAAATCCAGACTTCCCCAAGTGTGGTAAGGCAAGGCAAGGCAAGCAAGAGATGTCTCTAGGGGCCGGGGCTCGTCAGTGGAAGATCGGAAACCTAAGCACGCAAGAGATTGCAACACACGGCCTTAGACGAGAGAAATAGCCTTGAAACAGACCACGGAGAAAAGAAGGAGAACATGAAAATGTATAAGGCCTGCTCCATACCCCACTGGAGCCTTTCTCAAGGATCTCTCGAGAACTAAGCAAGTCCCAGAGCCTACCCTGCCTTCCCAGATCATCGCCTCTCTGTGAGACTCACACCCCATGGTCTAGCCACTGTTTTCTCTGGAGCTACACAGTGCTCCTTCTCTTCTGCCTAGCCGGAGAGTCTCCCTTCTCCAAGGAACTGCCCATCCTGCTCACAGCGCTGAAGGGCCTTTGGAGAGCCTGCTGGCCCACTCTCCTCCCTCCCACAACACCTGAAAGGCTGATGGGTGGATCAATACAAAATTTGGTGATTCTGGATCAGTTGCCACATGTTAGGATCATTGTGGTAGCCAGTGTGCAAATATGGCTGTCAACAGTTCTTTCCATTCCTGTGCCCACATGCTGTGCCCCCCAGGAAGTCGAGTTTATTTGAATCTGGGCCAGCTTTATGACTTGCTTTGAATAAAAATGCAACACAAGGCTGGGCACAGTGGCTCACACCTGTAATCCCAGCACTTTGGGAGGCCGAGGCAGGTGGATCATGAGGTCAAGAGATTGAGACCATCTTGGCCAACATGGTGAAACCCCGTCTCTACTAAAAAAATACAAAAATTAGCTGGGCATGATGGCGTGCGCCTGTAGTCCCGGCTACTTGGGAGGCTGAGGCAGGAGAATTGCTTGAACCTGGGAGGCGGGGGTTGCAGTGAGCCGAGATCACAGCACTGCACTCCAGCCTCGTGTCTGGCGACAGAGCAAGACTGTCTCAAAAAAAAAAAAAAAAAAAAAAAAAAATTCAACACAAGAGATATTCTGGGACTTTCAGGTCTAGGCCTTGCGAGGCATTGTAGTGTCCATTTTTGTCCTCTTGTAAGGCAGCTACAAGGCTATAACTGCCCAGCTACTCTACTCTCTACTGGAGAGACAGAGAGATGGGGAAGAGAGACAGAGAGATAGAGGAAGAAAGACGAGGTGGGGGGAGAGAGAGAGAGAGGCTCAGCCAACTCCCAGCTGTTCCAGCCACCGGAAGCTGAGGCACCAGAATTCAGTTACTTTGGATTCCCTAGCGCTAGGTGAGCCACTCTAGCCAACAACACATAAAGTGGAGAGAGGCCATCCCTGCCTAGCAAGACATAAGCAAATGTATGCACTGTGTTGTTTAAAGCTACCAAGTTATGGGGTGGTTGTTACTCCCCAGTAATAACTGAGCCCTCCAAAAAACAGTCATTTCCTTGGGATTAGGGTGTTTGTCCCTTCCCATCCACAAGGTGTAATGTATTCATGAAGATCTTAATGGATGGAGGGATGTTCAAGGAAAGAAGGATGTGTTTAGAAGGGAATCAGAGACCAGGCATCTGCCATGGTGGCAAATTTGGTGGGAAGACTCAGGGTAAGGGCTGGCCCAGGCAGGACATAGTGTTGTCCTAATTTCTAGAGTGAGGAGAGTGACTTGGTTCCATTGGAGTGTCACCAAGAGAAAGTGGGCCTCACCTACAGCATGGGGGATAGAGGACAGAGGATGAGAAGAACTGCCAGAGAGCACAGCATGAGGGATTTGGAGGAAAAGACTATGGAATCCTTTTCTTCCCTTCTCCCTCCCAACCTCCAGCATTTGTGGAATACCAGCCATATGCACTATGCCCTGATGTAGGATGGTCTCTCATTTACTTGGAGAGGCCTTAGCATGAGCCAGCCTGGAGACTGGGGGATGGATGGGATGAACCTTGGAAGGCCCCACCAGGTTGACTTCAGAGTTGCCAGGAGAGAGGTAATTCAGCTACCTCTGCAGGACAATGTCCATTAGGACATGAGACTAGGGGAGGGCAGGGAAGGTATCAGTAAATATTTATAATCTGCCTAGAAAAGGAAAATGCAAGGCAAAGAGGGCTTGACTGAACATCTGCTGAGGGGACAGAAGCGATGACATGGAAAGGGAAGAGCTAGAACCAAGGGAGCAGTGATTCAGAAAAAGGGCCCACCAGGCACAGGTGCCTATGGAGCAAGGCTGGGCCTGAGCCTCCCAGGACAAGAGGTGGCCGGGATCTGACAAAGATTTTCAAAGGCTGGCTTTGCCTTTGGGGAGTTAGTCTCTCTATGAGGGAAGTGCAAGTACTGCTCCCAGGGAGCTCCCAGTCTCAGGGAGGATTGACATGGCCCTGGCCTTCAGGATGCTCCAGGTCCTTACAGAGTATCCAATCTGAGCGAGGAGACAGAGCCTCTGCCCTCAGACATTTCTTTAGATACTAGTTTTGGGAAGTCACCACCCTGCCTCCGCTTGTCTG